TTATTGTTTCTCAATGCCTGGCTTAGGCATGACTGCAGTGAGTCCCATTCTTAGTCACTTTGTTCTCCCTCTGCCTTATACAGATACCTATCTTGGGTCTTTGTAGTCCACAGTAGGAGCTGGGCACATTGAAGTTAGGTCTGATCACACTGAGCATCCCCATACCTATGACCGACTGGGGATTTTTTTCTTACCTGCCTGTGTCTCAGTTTCTCTTCTGCAAAAATGGGGGTTATTTTAGTTCCCCATCATACCCAAGTATTTTGAGGATAAACCCATTAAAGTTGTGACATTCTTGTATGTAGAGATGGGATCAAAAAGTACCTATGATATGATACCAGACAGTTGCTTAAACTAAAAATGATGCTGATTGGTGCAAGATCCATCACCAGCCAATGATACATGATCTCACCCCATCTAGTTTGCATCACATACACTTGGCTAGATGATACTGTGATCTACATCATCCTATCCAGCTAGTCACTCCATAACAGACCCACCCAGGACAAGAAGTGAGGCATCCTTATATTGCATCTTCTTACCAAGCACTGAATCCTGCAATTACAGCTGCTGCAAATACACCCAAAATATTTCATCTGGCAATAGAAATTAGTTACAGCTAATGTAGATTTTATATTAATTATAATAAATAATCCAACAGGACTACAGGTTTCATACAGGATCTTACTACTAATATTTTGCAAGTGACAGTGGTGAAACACCTTGGTGTTGCTATCCTGACATGGTCTTACATGCAAAATCCCCAAAATCCTCTCCTTCCTTGCCCCTCTAGGACTTTTTCAGATCACCTCTGGTTTAACCTATGTAATCAGTTCCACCTTGCACTTGGCCTTGGACTTGTGCCCTTATGGCACTCGTTAGTATTCTCCCAGCTCCCAGGCAAAAAAATTCCTGACCCTGCTTCAACACAAAGTTTCTTAAACTATAACTGCCAACGACCAGTTGTACTCCATCCACAGAATGAGAGAGTGAGGAGTTGGTGAGTTACAAGCACTATATAGTAGTCTCAACTTTCAACACACTGGTTCCCAGCAGTCCCCCCTTACCCCATTGTCCACACTGATCTCCTTGTTCTTTTTAACGCCCTGAACCAAATGGAGAGACAGGTCAGACATTTGAATGTCTGGTACAGAATACAAAGGCTGAAACAAAGCATACTTCCATGCCTGTGCTAAGGCTGTATTACAGCTAAGAGAGCCTCTTTTACAGCCTCCACTGAAAGGGCCAGATCCAAGCTTAAGGAGTTATACAGAAAGTTCTGTCTGCCTATAGCTGTGTTGGAGCCCAGGTACCAAGTATTGTAAAGATCACACACATTTGGAAAGTCAGCTCACACAGCATGGATCTTTTCCCCAATACAGGCCAACTAGCAGCCTGCCTGCCCTCTTGGTGTTTCATATGTTTATTCACTTTAGAGGAGTCTCATCTTAAACCTATCAGTGTGATCTAAGTCTTTCCTGCCTTGGGAGAATCATAAGCAAATGATACCACTCAGGGTCCAGCTAACTAGGACCTCTACCAGGACATCCCACAATCCTGCCAACGCTAAAATGACTCAGGCTGGCTAGTAGTTACATCAATTCAAGACAACTATTGCTCATCCAGAACAGGAGGAAATAGACAAAGCCACCTTCAATCACAGCTAATCAAAGATAGCATTCTAGACCTCTTGATGCAGAACAAGACCAGGGAGAGAAATAGCTTAGTAGTATTACTGGCTGATTTCTTGCTGTTAGGGGAAGGCATCCATGCTTGGCCTCCTGGGTGTGTCTTCAGGCTTCAGACCATAAGATACTACAAATTCTCTACTAATTCTCTTGAGGGAGGTGGCAAAAATTTATGGGAACCTGCTACTACTTTAAGTCCTTCCTGGATTGACACACCCAGCGATTAGTGATGATCCCTCCCCTCCTTTATTACTACACAATGCTCTTCTGGAGTCATACAGGGATCAATCCTGTAGGTACAGATTGAACTAGCTGGATGACATGACTAAGTGCCAGCAATATGCAGCCGACACATAGCTCTACTAGTCCTTAACTGATGGTCTGAGAAACAAACTAATGGCAATGAGTTAAAAGCAAGTTAGGACTTCTGTAGAGCAGCTACTCTAAGTGAAAACTAGACTGGAGCAAAGGCCCCCTGTTCCATGCAAGAGTAAATTACACTGTTTTAGTTCTTATTTGATGCGTTTACACAGCACACTTTACTGCACAATAGACTAATCTACTGTGCAGCAAAGCATTACCATCTACATGTACACATCAAATTAGTTTACTGCATGGTTGGCTACTACCTGTATCTACCGGTAGTAGATTTACCACACACTAGCTACTGCGCAATAGTGCATGTGTAGACAGTTGACCAAATTGCACCTGGTCAGCCCAGACAGCAGGGGGTGGGGAACTGTCCCATTCCCTGGGAAGCTGCCTGCTTCCCAGCCCCATGCCCCAATGATCGGCAGATCAGGACGTGAGGCTGGGAAGCAGGCAGCTGCCTGGGGCAGGGGGACAGTTGTCCTGCCTCATGCCCTGATCTTCCAATTGGGGCACATGGCTGGGAGGCAGCTGACCCAGAGATGGGACAGACGCTTCCACCCTCCAGAGCCAAGGCCTGACCCAGTGCCACCTGCCAGCCCAGGGCTGGTACTTGGGAGAGCCTGGGGCTCCCCTTAGCTGCTGTAGCGGGGCAGAGCACACCTGGGGAAAGCTTAGTGTGCCTGTTTTACTGCACAGTAAACTTGAAGCACATGAATAGCACGTGTAGACGCACTTGTTGTTGAGTAAAAGCAGATGTTTATTAAGCAGCAGTTGTATTAGTCCCTGCGAGAGTTAACACCTTGCAGTTTGAATGCTTGTCTGTACTCACGTAGTTGCCTGCTGGCCCCAAGGCAGCAGAGTGCTTAGGCAAGATCAGTTCAACAGCAGCTGGCTGAGGCTGAGGTTGAACAAAGCAAAGGTGATGCTGCTGGGCCAAGGAGAGTATTTAGGGTATGAAATTAGATGAAGGTGTTTGCTGACATGAGTACTTGCCCTTGGGTGGAAGGGGCACACCCTCAGTTTCAGCATCTAGGTTGGGAACATTGCTGGATTTCTTGCTGACACCAAGCCATCACATAGCAGAGATGCCTTTGACAATCTCCTGTTGGCTAGAAGATGCTGCCCACCCCAGAACTGATGGGGTCTTGGCCAAGCGTGCCTTTGTCTCAGTCTGCCTCAGCTGCAGCAATGCAATATATCTGGATATAACACCCTCAGGTCTTAGGAAACTCCAGCAAGAAATAAATGTTACAGCATTGTATCCAGTACGTACTAGCATCATTCCTATTCTCTGCTTCTACTACGCTGGCTTCCCCAGAATATCAAATTGAGACATTTCAGTTCTTATCTTCCTCAGGCACAAGCACCATCTACCATAAGGGCAAAACTCATCAGTGCATGAGGCACCTGTCTTGAGGGACAAACTCCCTTGGCAGCGAAACAAATACCATTGTAAACCTTGCCACTAACTATTCCCAGGACAAGGCTCATTTCTCTGGCCTGCCTTCTCCAGTTTATATTGTTGAATACATTTTTAAAAAAACAACCCAAACAAACCCAAAACACAAATATTACACTGTACAGAAGGAGCTCTGCTGTAGAGAGAAGTAAGGGTATTCGTGAGAATGTAAGTGGGGGGGCAGGAGAGAGTGCACGAGAGCAAGCCCCATATATGAGAGACGCTAGTCACATTGATAAATGCAATACTCAGATGTTATGGTGATCAGTGCAATGCAAGTACCTTAGATGTCTTTTTTTTGAGGAGGTTCCTTTCAGCCATATAGATATTAAAATTAAATTAAGGCTAGTTCTTCTCCTTGAAGCACTGATGCAGCTAGTACCATTGAGCAGACTGAACAGAAGGTGAGACCTCAGAATGAATTGTTGGACTGTGGGCATTGCTTATGTCGGCAGACTATGTAGATGAGGAGTCTTGGAAAACCCACTGTACCATAACAGTTATCATCTGGAATCCTTGACTGAGGGTATGCCAGCCTAACATGATTGATGACAAATTGGGTATGTCCAAATTTTGACCTGAAATGTTAGTCTCCCATGACTCCTATCACCTTGAACTTTGCAGGCCTGGGGAGCATTACCTCGTTTTAGAGAATTAGGGGTGGATGAATACAGACACTATCCTACTGTGTCATACTGTTGCTCTGAATGAATAGTAGTGGTTGGTAATCTGTTCCCTTATCTCTTTGGAGGGTAGTTAATCCTGCCAGTCCTAAATCAGGTGTAGGGAGGAGCTCTTGGTGGTGTATGAACAAAAAGTGAAACTTGAAACACTGTGGAGCAGCACTTTTAGAGAGATTGCAACACTGTTTTCTGGCATGGGGCATTTGGCGGAAAGAGTGGGAATTGCCCACTGTCACTTGGCTGGGCAAGAGCCAGTTTTCCTTACCAGCACATGGGTTACACAAAAGGTGATTTCTGCAAGTGGCTCCCTACTTGGGATCATGAACATGGTGACAGACAACAGTAAAAGGATCAGAAATTATCAAGAAACCACATATTATTTGATAGGTAAATGAGCATTTCAAAACCTGAAAAACTCTGTGAAAGATGGTGAGGTAAAGGGCAGTGCTCATTCTTGCAGCTGGGTAAAATGGAGGCACACAGAAAGGATATCCTTAAAAAAAAAAAAAAAAGAGTCTTCATTTTGGTGACATTGACTGGACTTCACACTCTTCACATTCAAGAGAAAAAGTCAGAAATACTGCTACAGCTGAAGCAGAAAGAGGCATAGGGGAGACAGCATCAGAGCAACATGATAGGACTAGTGCCAAGAACTTCCCTGTAGATTGGTTGCTGCTGTCAGTTTGGGAAGAGAGTATACCCATTTGATCCAAAATGTTTATACAGAATGGAAGTTTAAAACAGCTCTAATCTGTTTACATCAGTAGTATTTACGTGTCAACATTTTCTTTAAAATAGAAACAAATCCAGCTATGAAGAGGCAAGAATTACTGAATATTCTGGGTATAAACTTCCAGGTAAAATGAAGTTGCTGGGCTAATGCAGGTATAACAGATGAAGACTGCAGCACAGCAGATGCAGAGAAATAATAGCTATGACTAGGTTAAGAGCCATCACTTTTGTTCAGAAAAAGCCACAACTGCCCTTGTTTATAAATATCACTGTACAGAAGATAATGCGCCTGAGAAAACACTAATGCTGTACAGAAATTGTATCTCTGAACATGTCACCAATGTAAAACTGAGCGCAGGCTAATGTCTTAATTTTAAAATGCAGACATCTTAATATGCTATGTAAATACTGCAGAGACCTGAAGAATACACTGTGCTCAGAAACTTGTCTAAGTCTATCCCAGCCACACAGTTGGCTGATAAAAGATATCACCTATAAAAATCCTTGTCTCTTCAAACTACTTAAGTTTGCTTGGTCTTCATTAGGCCAGAATAAGTACTTGTACAACTCTCTTTTAGTGCAATGTCCAAATATTTTATTGGTTCCTTCATTTTTGACTCCCATGTCCTTGGTCCACTCTGTTGTGTCCTCCTGCCCCCAGTCACTGTGGGTGCCTGTACATGACCAGCGAGGCTGGTCTGACATGCTGGGATTCCAGCACATTGGAGCCAACTCGATTGAGTCTGCTTGAGTGTGGCAGTTGCCATGTTCCAGCAGCATCCTGCGTCATGCTTAAAAATGGTGGCAGGGAAGTTTGAATTGAAGCTCACTGAGTAAGCTTTAGTTCAAGCACCCATGACACCGTTAGTAAGCGCGGGGACACTGATCCATGAGACATGGCAGCGCTTTAATCGGAGTGGCTCTTGGAGCCACTCTCATTAAAGCAGCGCTCTCCCGCAACCCCCGGAGCACGTGGAAGTGCCCAGTGTTACTCAGCATTCTCTCCTCTTGCCTGCAGTCTTTTAAACTACACCACAGAATTAATCATATGAATTAAAAGCTTTTACTCAGGTCTCTATATTGAATCTTCATGCTTCTACTCAATCCCCAGCTGCAGGTAGTTTAGATCATCATTGTCAAGATGGTGCTCAGGCCTAGCTAGCAGTGACAGGCATTGCACACTTCCCAGCTTTCATTCTTTCTGGATGGAAATGCTCCGAGATACATGGACGTTTCTAAATTCAGTTTCATAACTGAATTCAGGATTTCTTTTGGCATTAAAATTTGTCTGTAGTTGTGGCCAGAAACTTAAGTCTGTTGTAATGGCTTCTTAGTTGATTTACCCAGTTTCAGCAGTCTGCTGTTGTTACTGTGGAAGCGAACTTGTACTTCTGTTTAAGAGTATTTAGATATTTGATGGCTTTTACAAAGAGAATTGGATAGACATAGCCCCTTCAATGCTAACTGCAATTTCCTATTGCTTTATTTAGCTAGTTTTCAGGTGGAGAAAAGTTGTTAGGGTTGCTTAGGTTTTTACTCATTTTGCATACAGATAATTTTGATATGTTTTGCATCATTACAGTCAAGACTAAACGCAAATAATTTTTATATTTCTTTACACAACGAATGTAAACCAGAAATAAAATTAAATGGTGTGTGCTTATAAACATATTTTATTTTAATATGTGAATTTATCCACTACTCGTGTGTATTCTTCTGGTCATTTTATGAGCAGTAATTTCTGTTTAACTTAATATTTATTTTAAAATGTATTTATTATTTATTTTCATCCATTTGTTTTTAAAAGCTAGACGGTTTTGACCAACTGCATTGTATAGTCCAAATATGAAAGGATGTTTTTAATATTAAAAGCCTGTGAAGACACTATCCCACACCTCTCAAGCATGTAATCTTACTTGAAATAATTGTGTTCACCTTCAAGCAGAAGAACTGCCCAGCAGTTTGAGGCTAGTATATAACATTGATAGCCTATTACAGATGATATTTGGATAACTTGCCAATGTTGACTTCTGCGTTTCATCAACCAGCTGAAAGTGCTGCGGCCCACTCTGGAATTGTATAGGGTATTTTCTTCTTTCAGTATTACTTTATAAAATTTGTCTCATATTACTAACCTTGACCTTTCAGTTTGAGTATGGATTTTCCTCTTTGGCTTTTCATTTTATATTGTACATTCTGCAGTGTAGAATTTCAACCCATTGATTGCAATCAATACATAATAAACATTAGATTGTCAGTCTCAGATGCAATTAACAAATTGGTCTCAGAAAAAATGGTTAGAGCCTCCAAAGCTTATTCACATAATATTCTCCTTGATTTACTGTTTAATTTCCTGGCCAGCTCCCTCCAGACTCAAATTTTAATATACTAGGCTCCTATCACCAAGAATATACTTACTGTCATATTTGCAGAAGCCCCCTTGACAAATTCAAGACACTGACAAAGAGCGGACACCGGGGTTCACACCAGAATACAGTGCAGCACAGAGAGGCTGAACCAGAGGTTTTGCATGTGGGATAGGAACGACAAGGTAGCTTCCTGGGAAGAGTTTTGTCACTAAAATGCTTTACCAGGTCTTTTCTTTTTAATGCATCTGCACACTCATCTCATGAGAGAGTTTGGAAACAACTCTAGTTTTAGAGCAGTTGGGATAGGTACTGACTCAAAAAGCTGTTTTAAACAGCATCAAACTACTGGAAGAAAAAGACATACTAACATGAAAAAACACATTTTATTGCACTTAAGTTATAAGAAAATAAAATTTCTAAGTGAATCAAACCATAGACACAATCCCTTTAAAGGTTGTTTTCCTCCATCATGTCAGGTTGTTACATAACTAAAATTAACCGACTGGAATCTGATTGATTTAAATCAGACTATAAATAAAACAAAAGAAGGAGGAAAAAAGATCGCCTAGGATACAGTGTTAAACCACTTTCACAGTTCAGCTTGAGTTGTGGCTCTTGGAGAATGAGGCAAACCATCTGACTTTTCATTTCTTTTTTTGTTTGCATGTGACAACTTTATTACAAAAACTCAAGTTTTTGCTCTGTCAATTCCTCCCAGCAATAACTGTAACAGTTGTTTTTTTCAAATACTGTAAAACACTAAGACTGACCAGCAACTTTATTTCCATTTTTGTATTTTATATTTTTTTAAAATTTTGTCAGTTTTATTATGTATGTTCATTCCATTCACCACAGCCCTCACAAAGAAAAGTTTCCCCACAGAACAGGCTGCAATAGCTTTGTTCTAAGGAATGTGTTTTAATTTTTGCCCAGAAAAAAGAAAATAAGCTTTGCACACACACTCAATTCTTTATTTGCAGGCAAACTTCACTCTTAATTGTCTGAAACTCTTCCACTCTCAGCCTCTTAGAGGCACAGTTGGCTCAAGTTTCAGTGGCAAAAAGTCTTTTTCTGTAACCAAACTAGAGCAAATTTGGAATTCAGTCTGGGACTAAAACGTCACAGCAGAAAAAAAATAAAAAAAAATAATTTGCTTTTCTTTCTTTCATTTAGCAGCATAAATAAGTTTGGCCACTGGGAATACAGTACAGGGGTGGGACAACAATCCCATATTTGAAGACCTACTTCTAGCACCAGCATTGCAAATTAAATCCATCAGAGGACTCTCAGAACCCAGGACAACTTGCCACCTCAGAGCAACTTATGCATTGAAGAGTGTAGATGGAAGCAACAGTAAATAGATAAACAGAGGCTAATACTGTGATTGACATTGGCAATGGTTGGCAAAAAAAGCTGAAAACTGTACAAAAACAATTCACAGTAAGATTTTAGCTTTTCCACATCAGGAATGGACCTTTTGTTGTTGTTGTCACAGAGGCTCTCTAGTTTGAAAGTCAACCAGTAGCTGATGTTACGCAGCGCCTTTCTAGATCTCTGTGGTAAAATAACAGGTTAGCAAGAATTGTAACAACTTTTTAAACCTCTGCTCTGCTCAGCAAGCACGCAGAGGAAAATAAAGAAACAATTGCACCTGGTTTGATTTAGAAAGTCATATTTTTGCAAAGCTGCCCCAGTCAAAAGTGAAGCCTTTTATGTGACGAGACAGCAAATGCCTCTCTTGTCAGTTATAGTTTGTCATCTCTTCATCTTCTCCTTCGTAGTCTGTAGGTCTTTAGGATCTGTTGCCCCAAGCCAACATCCTGCACCACCAAGGACAAGGGATATTTTTTTGCAGGGGGAGGGAAGGGAGAACATCGTCTACACGTTTGGACAAATTCATCTTTCCGCCCTTCACTTCATATCTACATCAAAGTCCAACACCAGCAGCTTTGTTTCCTCAGTCCCGTTCCGGCTTCCAACTGCACACACTAGCTTTGTGTTGGAGGCTCTGATGCGCCACACGACTCCTCCGCTTCCCCCACTCTCCAATGTGACTAGATTTCGGATAAATTCACCCGTTTTCAAGTCCCAAAGTTTTACAGTCCCATCATCTGAGCTGGTAATTACAAAATTCTTGTTGAACTGTAAACAGGTCACAGCGCTCTGATGCTTGTTCGGACCTGCAGCAGTAAAAAGAAAAGAATGTTGCTTGTGGTTAGAAAGCAGGGATGGTTATTACCAGGCTTAGAAGCAAATGCATTTGTAGACTTTGATCCATGTGGCAAAGCAAATGTTTAAACATTGGCACACGCAGAAACATTGTTCTGCATTTTCTAAGGATAGTGCAGAAATGGAGACATCCCTAGTACTTTGCCTGTCCTTACTGGTGTCTGCTTTTGTTGGATGTGAAGTAGAAATCTCATCTGAAACTCAGGAAAACAAGAGTATATTAACCATGGGAGGTGATTACAGAAAAGGCAGGTACTGTCCCCAGTGCTCCATTCAAAGAATGGCCTGATTAAAGGTCACTGCTGAACTGTAATGGTGCTGCTGCCAAATCTCTAGATTTGCTTCAAAACTCAGTCCTCCCACAGCCAAGCGCCCACCAACCGACAGCAGAGGTAATTATCAACTCCAATAACAAAACTATGTCTCTTTATATGCCTTTTTCCCCTTTAAACCACCCCCTAGGAATGGTACTTTAAAGGTCAGTGCTTGTTTTTTGCAGCATGCAAGTATGATTAAGCAGCAGAGGCTGCTTTTCTGTGAAGTGCATTTTCTCTTGCAACCACGACTGATGTGTAAAAGCCAGGGAAAGATACTACCAAAATCTTAGTTAGAAAAAAAGAGGATGCAGCCATACACAGCAAGAGGAGTCAAAATGAAAACTGAAATCTCTCTCTTTTACTGTTATAAAATAAAGGACATGCCTTCCATTCATTTTTCTTGATTTACTGCAACACACCGTGTACTCTGCCTCCCAATCCAATTAATCAGTAGTCTTTGAAATGTCCAAGTGACCCCTAAATAAATAAGTTGACTGGCTGTTTTGAGATGCCATTTCCTACATATTTTTGTGGTTTATTAGTCTAATATAACCGCATCAAATTCCTATCAGACTGAACCATCTGCCTTCCATAATAGCAAATTATTTTAATAGATTAAATTATAAAAAACAGAAAGATTTATTTAATTCACAGAAAGATGATTTTGCTAAGTGCAGACAGACAGTCCAGTTAGCATCAGAGATAACTTTTGTAATGCAAGTGTCCTGCCATGGTTCTCTTTAAATAATTCTCTACCAAATGGTGCATTAAAGAAATCTGTAAATTTAAGGTTGCTTCAATTTGGATCAAATCAAGTAATCTTTAAAAGGCCAATGTTGCCCTCTGGCAATGCATGGGAAGTAGAAGTGCTCAACTGTACCAAATACGAACATGTACTGTTATGAGGGTAACAATTTTAGCAGCACTCAGTACTGAAACAACTGCTACATTTCAGACTTCCTGAGGTAGTTAACTGCACCATTTCAGTATGTTAAATGCCTGCTTTTAGGGTTGGAACGCAGCAACCCACCTTGCAATGTCTGTAAACATTGTCCTGTTTTAATATCCCAGATTTTGACTGTAGAGTCTGCGTTTCCAGACACAAGAATATTGTCCTTGAGTTCCATTCCACTTGTTAAAGACTGGTGGCCTGTTAATGTGTGAATGCAGTTTCCTGTCTCCACATCCCAAACGCGGATTGAAGTGTCAAGAGATCCACTCACCACATGAATACCATCAAACTGCAAAAAAGGAAAAGCTATTATACACAATTATAATAAGCTATTAGGATGCTTACCATAGAAAAAATATAGTTTCACTAAGTAAAACATTAAAACTGTAACTTACGTACATTCTATCATCATTTAATTACTCAATGTAGGCTCTCTCAAATGATGCTAAATATAACTTAGAACTTAATGTAGACAGAGACTGTTGGGTTTAACAGGCTTATTATCAATAAAACTACTACAGATCTCACTCTTGGAGAAAAATGTTTACCTTAAATATATTTTGAAAAGTCATGATAAATATCACATACTTTCCAGACAACAAGGAAACTAAACATGGAACATTTGGGCAAGTTTTAATAAATAAGGTTGAATGGCAGGAAGGCAAAAGTTATGGTGGTGTCAAAGATTTTCTGATTTAAAATGCAGAGAGAGGTGGTTAGCAGAGCTAGCCTGAAGTCAAACAGAAGGCATGGCAGGTTAGCACCTTAGCAACAGCCTACTTCATTAGATACTACAAATGGACTGACATGTTCATTTATATGCAGTCCATGCATAGTGTCTGAAGTAGGCTGTTGCTTATAAAAGCTCCTGTATCTCTGAATGAGTTAGTCTACAAGGTGCCACCTTGGCTTACCTTCTGTCCAATTTAAAATGTTTAACACCTTCTTGCTCCTCTGAGTAGGGGAGGTAAGGACTACAGGAAGGTGAGCACTACAAGCTCTTGTAAACGTAGCGCTCTCAGTGTAATGTAATGGAACTTGAAACCTGTCTAGCTATGCTGGCCCAAGCCTCATAGACAACTGTAACCATGTAAGCTTTATACACAATCATTGGGGTGTAGCTATGCCTATAATTTTACCTAAGGCTATTGGGTCCAGACCTGTTGGCAATTTGGCTTTGCAAATGGATGACATAACATTAAAAAACATGTAAACTACTCTTTTCATTTGTTTATTTAAAAGTTACCTGGGGGGAGGAAATTACTCAGGAGCCAAAGGGACGGGGAAAATGTCTACCTAGCTCCAGCAGAAGCCCTGAACCGTGGGATTTCCAGACATCCCCCAGACATACAACCTACATGAAGATCATGTTTCTTTTCAACCCCCTCTCGAGGATACCAAACACTCAAAGCTACAAATCAAATTCTGGCATCACGACCTAAAGAGCCACTCCCATATCCTATCATGCACTGATAAATTTAACATAAGCTAATGGAAGGAGTTTAGGTTCTTTGCCCCACTTCCTTGTTTGGCAAATTGTTCCAAATCTTCAGTCCTCGAAGTGTAAGAAACTTCCTTCGAATTTCTAGTCCAAATTTTGTTCTCAACTGAACTCCAGATAATTTGCACTTTCAAATTAAATTAACTCCAGGCCTCCTCTGCATTTAAATCCTTGAATTCCTGAGTCCAGTCAATCTCCTTACACAATTTAATTTCTCAAAATTTGCCTTTCTGAAGCCCTCTTTTGTCTGATCTGCAATTTAGGCTAAACTGAATCTGCTCATGATCACACAATGCCAAGACTAAGCACCTCTTCTATAAGATCGTCTCTGCTTATTAAAACTAAATGTAAAATAATATTGCTTCCAGGCAGTTCAGTGACCATTCAGTAGAACTCTATTGGCTCTCTCATCCCAGAATACTTGTACCCTAGTAATATTTGTTATCCAATTTATATCTGGGAAGTTAAACCCACCCATAACCACACAATTCCCACCATTACTAAATTCTCCTATAATCTGATAAAGATCTCTACCCTTATCCAAGTCTGAGCCTAGGGGTCTGTAGCAAATCCCCAGTACAATCTCTTTCTGTTGGTCTGGATGCTTTATCTTTAGCTTGCAGGAGGAGAATCAAGATCTAATTGATTTAAAATACTAGTGTTACATTTTCTTTGGGAAGCCATTTGCTGACAGCTGTAAAATACTCAACCTGAAGTGTGTTCATGGGACTGCAGTAACCCAGCACACAGAGCAAGTAGGGCTGCACTCCTCCTACCTTGGCACGGAGGAACAACTCTGGTATCACAATTCTAATACACCACAACCTATAAACTTTCAAACTGGCCAGGCAAAGGACATTGCTTTTTGTTCAACAGAGTATCATAGCCTAGAGAAGAGTATCATAGAGAAGTGTGTCTTGTTAGAATCAGGGACAAGAACATGTATAGTGAAAATTCTTAGCAGTAAAAATAGAAGAAAAACTACTCTCTTTTTACTTTTTGCCTCGTGTAGTGACAGTTGCTCCAGATCCAAACCAAGATTTGGACTTCCACTGCACTGGCTGCTTTACAACCCACAGTCCCTGCCCTGAAAGATTTAAGCCAAATTAAGACAAGATGCAATGGGTCACAAAAGAAGGATAATATACACTGCTCTATTTTTGTAGGATTGCAAAAGTAATTTAGCAAATTACCCACAGTTTAGCAAGGTGGACTGAGTGAATAGAAACACTAGTGGAACATCCCAAAGAATCTGGAGCACTAGATTCAGACTGCTTACCTGTAAAGAATAGACTCTGTTAGTATGCCCTTGCAGTGTGTGTAGACAGGTCTCAGTTTCTGGATCCCACACTTTCACCATAAAATCATATGCTCCACTAACTACCCTCCTGCCATCATATTGAACACACCGCACTGCAGCTACGTGACCCATCAGAACATGTAAACATTGGCCTGTCTCTATATCCCAAACTCTCAGCGTGGCATCTCGAGATCCACTGACAACCCTGGGGAAATGAACAAAAACTGTATTTAGCATAGAAACATCTATTGTAACTATAGCAAATACATTAAAAGCATTTATAATGTAGATAAAACAGTAAAAAACTAAAATTATTTCTCTGGGTGACTAGGTAGCATGGGGTCTAATTCAGTTGTCCGCAAAGACCTGTTTCACATTATTAGGTTTGAAAGTGAAACAAGTTTGGTGTTATAACCACCCCAAGCACCATCACAGCTCCAAAATATCTGGTATGATTGCCATCCAAGAGCTCCAGGGCTTGACCAAGATGGTGCAGGTCAGGATGGAGGTGGACAGGTAGAATGAAGCGTGAAAAATTACATACCATCTGCTTTCAAATATGCCTGCATCTTAATAATAAACCTACCTTCCACTTACAACCCCCTCCTCCCTAACCCCCCCCCCCCAAAAAAAAACTTTTTAGAAGTTTGTATTTAGTAAAACAAAAATTATTTCACTTGATTTAGGAAGTAAGCATCAGTTTAGAAGGTTTTGTAGCTTCTAAGAGTGGAAATGGAAAAATACATAGTAACAAAGATTCCTGTAACTTTCAAATAATTAAAAACCTCAATGTCCTTTTTAAAGAAAAGAAGGGAGGAATAACCAACATAATATTCTAGAAGCAGCTACATATTAATAGACTAAACAAATAAATGCAACAGCTCAGGCAATGTTTGAGTCAATACATAGTAGCTCTTAATTCCTGTTCCTGAAAAAACAATATATTTTGGTTAAAAGAAATATTTATTAAGAAATATTCAAGATTGAAGACATTTTTAAAAAGGCAGCCTTTAAACTATGTAATTATTTACAACAGATGGACAAAAATAGTTCTTAAAAAGGACTGCTCTTCCTAGCATAGGAAAATTGGTCCTAGAAATAACCAAAACAGCTTTATCAGTCGCATGTAAGTTACAATTACTGTGTATCTCCATATTTGTACCTTACAGTACTTAGTAATACTCTTACACCTTTTCTTTTTCATCTTCTGTTCTTCCTTCTCTTGTTTCTCCCTTTTCTTCTTTAGTCTTGATTGTATAATTTAAGTTTGCCTAATTTGTACATGTTCATTTTTACTGAACGTTATAGTGCTTTGTACAGACCTTTATTGTTAGATTATTTCATAATAGATCAGGGTTTTCTGTTTCCCATGGAAAAACGGAGTAAACCACAGTTTTACCTTTTACCGGAAGCAAAGGTGGATTTCTCATTTTACCAAAGAAACCCATGGATTTTGCAGTTTTGCAAGAAGCCCTCTGCAGGCTGGCAGAGTTCCAGCCTGCAGGGGGCTGGGAGGGAGCGGAAGGAGGGTGGTCACACAGGGGGCGCCAAGTACATGTACATGCACATGGCCCCAGACAGCCTAGAGACCAGCTCCTGCAGGTAAGATGGGGGAGAGAGAGGATTGCGGCCCCCACAGGGAGTTATGGAGGGAGTTGAGCAGGGCTGGGCCTCCTGCCCAGCTGGGCAGTGCATGGGGCTTGGGGCCAGGGCCGCAAGGCACGGCTGTAGAGACCCATTGGGGAGTGGAACAGGGCTGTGGGCAGCTCATTTGTGGTGCGAGGCCAGCTCCTTCCACTGTGTGCACTTCCAGGGGGGCAGGAGGGACACCAATCCTCCTGATCTGTGCACAGGGCAGGGGTGGGCTGCCTGTTGTGGACTCGGGGGGGGGAGGGGGGCTGCTCCCTACCACTGCGCACTCCTGAAGGCCAGGGGGACCTGCACCCCCGAGATCGGTATGTGGGGCAGAGGCTGTGCGCTGCCTGCTTCAGGCTTGTGCTCCCCATTCTGCTGCCTTCCTCCAGGGCGTGCAACTGGCACTGCAGGGAACAGCAGAGCTGCACAGGAAGCTGCCTGCTGCTGTGAGCTCCGTGCTGCTTGCACGCCCTGGGCACAACCCTACGCTGCCGCTCCCGCTGCAGTTGTGCAGGCAGGAAATGCCTTGCTAGGACAGCGTGGAGCTTGCAGCGACAGGCAGCTTCCTGCATGGCTCTGCTGTTCCCTGTAGCACCCGGTTGCACACGCTAAACTGCAGAGGTGCTGAGGGAGGGCAGCAAGGTGGAAACCTACAGTGGGCAGTGTGCAGCCTCTGCTCTGCACACAGATGTGGCGGGTGTGGGTCCCCCCATGATTGCACGCCACATGTCGTGAGCAGCCCCCCCTGCCTGAGCCCACAGCAGACAGTGGGGGCGGGGGGGGGAAGAGAGCCAGGCTCTGCCAGGGGCTACAGACCCAGGTCCCTGGCCCCATAGTCCTGGCACTTGGGAGCCCCCTTCAACAGGGCTTGGGGAGCAGGAACTGTAGGTGGGGGCGAGGGGGGAGTGAGGTACACCAACAGAGCCAGGGGTTGTGGGGGGGCTTTCATTTTAATCATGGATTTTGGGGGTTTAGCAGAGAATATGCCATTTTTAATCAGAGATTTTTTTTATCATGGAAAACCAAGATCCCTGGTTCATGAGGTACATTTACTTTCACAGACACAATATGAAAAGAGATAAAAACAACAACTTCTACAGGTAATCCTTTAGGTAATCATTTACCTTTTTTCATGGAGATGCATACAACGCACAGTGGAGGTATGTCCATATAATGTATGTATACATTCTCCGGTCTCTGCATTCCATACTTTCAGTGTTCGGTCTGTAGATCCGCTGATAATGATATTGTCCCTCATTTGTGATGACCAGACTCCGCCTGTGTGTCCAACTAGTGTTCTCAAACACTAAAAATAAATATTTCATATAGTTACTGTTTTAAAGGAAGGGGAAAGAAATCTAATCAAGTCATATGGCCAGGAGAGACCAATAATTATTTTACATTTACAGTTATATTTGGAGACCTATCATTTAGCCACTTAATCCATTACAAGTACGCCATGTTGATTTGTATCATTCTAATATCTTAATGAAAATATTATATGGTATCTGAGGCCTTACAGATGTCCAACTATACTGCATTAACACAATTATCTTCATCAACTAAACCTGTAGTCTCATCAAAGAACAGGTATTGAGATAGTTGAACAAGCTCTGTTTTCCATCATCTCATGCTGATTGGCATTATTTATTTTACTTTAAAAAAATTCTTTAGTAAACAAATCCACTACCATTCAATCTGTAACTTTTCCCCAGATCAATATCAAAGTGAGAAGCCTATAATTACCTAATAATGCCTTTTACCCCTTCTAACTACTGGCACAACATTAACTTTCTGCTAGGTCCCTGGATCTGGTCCAATGCTCCAAGACCTGTTGAAAGTCAGCATAAATGATCCAGTGTACACTAGGGGTTTGCAAAACAGGCCATATTCAATTCAGATTCCGCCTGAACTGGGGACAGTGATTCGTTTTGTTGATTTGGATCACTGTCCCGATTTGATTTAGCCAAACCTAAAACTGAAGATTTGATGCTGATCTGGAGAATCAGCAATTCGGGCATAGACACAGCTTTAAATGTTTTTTCTACATACCTCTAGGTACCAGGTGACTCATGAACGCTGTGATGGTGGGGTGGATGGAGGATTCCACAGGAGCGGGGGGGGGAGGGGGCTGGTCCACTCCAGGTCCATCACCGAGCGTGTGGGGGACCCCCCCTCCATGACCCCTGCCTCAGCAATCGGGCACAGGGGGACCCCAGAGGCACCAGTTGCCAAGCCGGGGGGGGGGTTCGTGGAGGTCCCTGGCAGACCCAGAAGTGGACTGGAAGTGCTTCTGGTCCACTTCAGAGTCTACTGCTGAGTGTGCTGGGGACCTCCCCGTGCTCCCATGGGATGCACCATCCGCCCCACCATCGCAGCATTCACAAGCTGCCTGGTACCTAGAGGTACGCAGAAAAAACATTTAAGGCTATGTCTATGCCCAAATCATCAAGTCTTTTTGAATCTCTCCAAATTGATTCAGAGGGTTCTGATTCGGAGAGATTAAAGGATCTCCTGATTTGATTTGGAGATTTGGCCACTGAATCAGGCCAAATCTCTGCCAAATTGAATCAGTGACTGAAGCTTTGCACACCCTAGTGCATACCTTAGTTAGGTTTTGCAAAAAATCCTTGGATGATGCCTGGTAATTGTATCAGATGAATCAAAAACTTCAGTAGCTAGTGTTTAGCAGCAGTTTGTTGGAATTTGTTGGAATCATCATCCAATACAAACTGCCTCAATTTGGGTTTTTCCCAAATACAGAACAGAAAAAAAAAACATTAAGCCTTTATGCTTTTCTGGCATTAGTGACTAGTGAATATTGTTTTGTGACCATTTCCATGTAGTAATTGACCAGTACTATTGTTATGATTCATTTTGCTCCTGATCTGTTTGAATAAGTACTTCTAGTCTGTTGCTGGCTATTTATTTCCTCTTGTGTCTTTAGCTTTCCTTATTGATGTTCTACAATTTACCAGCTTCTGGTTGTTATTAATTGTTGTCAAATTCTCCCTCTTCCCTACTTGCTTGCATTTAGGTTTTTAATCTGTTTTTTGTTCATTTAAAAATGCAGGGTTTTTTTTAATTCTGGCTTTTCAGACATCTTACAAAATGTTTTTAAACTGTTCAAAGTTATCACTTTCATATCATAGTGAAATTATTTGTCCTAGTTAACTTGGCTCAATTGTTTTGATTTGTATCAACATGACCTCTTTAAATTATTAAATGTATTATTGGACTAGATCTTATTCTGTTTGCACATAAAAATGTAATAAGGTTATTTGCATCCAGGTGGCCTCTAATTACATCCTTTTTACAAGTAAGAATAAGTATACAGTTTTTCTCTACTGGCTCTACATTTTTCAGTTATCCTTTAATGTTTGAAGCAACTCTCTCTCATACAAAGAATTTTTAAAGTTCTTAGTTTAGAAGCTACCAAGCACTCAAATTCCTTGAAAGTCATCCTGTCATGAATTATTTTATATATCCATTGAAATATGTTGTTTTCAAGAGGGAGGGATAAACAAAGCAAATGTTCTACATGGAAAAATATTTTCTCTCTGTCCTTTTTGATAAAAGAATGCTAAAATAGTACCATGGTTTCTTTTATGAAGTGGCATCAGTGAAGGGAAGCCAGCAGAACTAGGTGTGGCTGCATACCACTTAATTTAATTCTTCCCCAAGGTAGTATTTACAATCCAGTCAAGCAACTTCTAGGCACGCAAAGACAGACACTAACACCTTCAAAATACAGTCAACATTAATATTACAAAGTGGATACCTGTATCTTCAACACACTGCTATCAACAAATAGGCTAATAATGATATAACACTGAATTAAATACAGTTAATTCAGTATGCAAGGCACTCTGTACCTAAACAAAGGCTTTTCCTAAAGCGTCTCTGCTTACATGTGGTCAGTTGTTGCATGTATAAAAAAACTCTCTGTCTACTGGGCAGATGTAATGTTCTTATGTTGTAAGTAACAAGAAAACATTCTGGCTGTCAATCTGAACGTTCATAGTGTTTATTAATTCTTATCAAGTTGCCACCTATTTCTGCCTGAGCTGGGTCTAATTTAATAGGAAATAAAGAAAGATGTAAAGTTCCTATGCAGCCTAGCACTAGAGTAGCTTATAAAGGGAAATTTGTTGTATATTCTAAGGAACACTCAGTGAAATGACCAAACAGAGTAATTTTTGAAAAAGGTAGAAGACAAGCATTAGACAGAAGCAAAATCCAGGTGGGCAAAGGGAGGACAAATTAAGCTTTAAAGAAGGTAACGTAATGTATCTGTCCAAATTCTCTGGAATACATGTCAAAATGACTCCACAAGAATGGAGGAATTGCCAAGAGAACGAGGATACATGCCAACAAAAACATGAACGGCATTGTAATTTCACATCAAGGTGACTTTCATAAAGTAGACTTGCTTCTGTGTAAAGAAAAAGGGCCCAAGTACTTGGGTTTGGGTCAGTGGTGCTCAGCCTCCAAACACATGGGTCTCCCACAGGTCCAGCAATCTGGCAGCAGGGAGAAGCAACAGCACTTATTGCCATTCTCCTGCTGCCAAATTTCCATACCCTTGGGAAGCCCTGCGGACCAGATCTCATGGCCCTGCATGCTAGATCACTGGTTCACGCTGAGTTCAATGTATGGGACACTCTGCGGGTGGATCAGGTCAATGCACGTGGCCAGTCCACCCAGGGGGTCATACCTATGTGCCGATAGTGGACCAGCCCTGTACTACTCATTCAGCCCACCAGGCCAGAAGCTTGAGTACCATTTACTTAGGCTATGGGCAGACATTACTTTTAACAATGGCTGTTATGATGCAAACTAGCCAACTGCCCGTCAAGATTGACGGGGGGGTGGGAGGGACATGGAATGGAGTGCCTAACGCCCCATGCTGCCGCTGTTCTGCCTCTTGCAGAGAGTGGAGTGGGGGAGCCAGTCCTCAGCGCTGCTTCAGAATCATGGCGGCGCTCCCCCATGCTTGGAGCACTCTGATCGGCTGTTTCCGTCAGCCAATCAATCAAAGTGCAAATAAAGTGTTACAGACAGACAGACAGACAAACAGACTTAGGCTTTTATAGTATTACAATGTTAAGTCAACATGCTCCTGTAGCCATACAAGTGAGCTGGACTAAATATTAACAGAGACTTTATGGCCCCTCCACAACATCTCTGCCATCTGATACCTTCAGGTAAGCAATCTGCTTTTGTCTCTGCACCCCCTCTACATTTGCATTCTTGCAGAACAGCTTTCCAAAGACTGGCTTTTTTCATACCTGAGAGATTTCTGACTATCTTTAATTTCTCTCACCATTTTCAATTTTCTATTTTGCCTGAAGGATGTGTGTGTCCAAAAACTTGCAAAGAGCAACTTCTTTGCAACTATTTAGTTGATCTAATAAAAGATGTCGCCTCTACTCAGAGTTCATCTGCCTTTGTGCTTAGACCAATATGGCTACAACCTAGATCCCTACATCACTAACTGTACATCTGAATGAAAGAGAGGTAAAATTGCATTAGTTTTGCCATAATTGAATCACTGACAAGAGCTAGTAAGCTAGTAAGCAAACAGTTTAAATTACTGAAACAGTTTTTAACTTGCTTCCACTTTTCTAGTGGTCCCTTTCACTGGAATTTTAACTTACCTTGCCTGTAACCGCTGACCAAACTTTTAATGTGTTGTCATCAGATCCACTGACTATTCGGTTACCACAGAACTGTAGGCATGTGATTACATGATCATCATGACCTTTGAGCACCTGACAATAGAAAATATAAACATTTGTGTGTTATAGTATAAGTCAACACACTGGAAAATAAACCTAACATTAAGCATGTATAAATAAGAAAGAGACATATTATTCTAGCTGGAAAAAATTACAAATAAAACAAGAGTCCCTGGATCCTATGCTTCGGATCTAATTTATCACTAGCTGTGACGCAGGAAGACATTTCCTCCATGGCAAAATATGGCATTGATAGCTAGATACATTTTAGCTTTTTTTAATCCTCCTAAAATAACTGGACTAAATCATACCTAGAAATTGTGCAACTCAGTGAATAGATCACCTATTCTAATTTAGGAGTTCCCCAGTTCTTATCTCTCCTCTAAAAAAATTAATCTTTGAAAACAAGAGAAGTTTTCATGTAAAATATTTTTGGTTAATTCAATTATGAACAGAAGGAATGTGCTTCTATTATTTACTGCAATGATTATTTTCATGGTCTAGTCTTTAATGTGAATTTATTTTCCAAACCATTCCACTTATCATCCGCTATTTGAATTTCCACATTTGTGAACAGTAGAGCTATTTTTCAAAAATGGCTTTTCCAGTGTTTGATCATAGAAAAATAAAGCAACCTTTTCTATAGCACAAGAAAAATCATGCATCAGAATATGTAAGTCAAACAAGGAATTTACTATTTAAAAATATCTGAATACTTTTTCAAAATGCCCACTGAAATGAAGTAGGCAGCAGGACATTGCCTGGGGCTGTCATTTTAATAATAATTCCAGCATAGTCTGATGTGGCATATCAAGGCAAGAAATAGAGCTGTTGCCAGAGATACATTAAGTTGCAGCCAGATGAACAGCAAGAGCCTTCCATAGATTTTTAGATAATGTCTGTCTTTCTTTTATACTTAGTTGTGGTGCTTTTGTTTTCAATGGTAAATACACAATTTCCCTAACAAGAACCAAGGAAGTCTGTTTTCTTGTGTTCCTGACTGCCCTTTATCTGTAATGTGACGTGATGATATGGCTGCCACACTATTTCAGAGATGCTATGAAAACTGCTGTTACATAAATGTTTGTGCTTCAAAGCATGTTACAAGAATATAATCTAGTGTCAAGGTCATTACACTGTAGGCATGCTCTATTGCATTGCCATGTACTGCCAGAACAATTATAGTTAATGTTACATTGGCACTTTATTGGAAAAGGCAAGGAAATACTAAAAGGAAAAAAATCAGATATTTTACTTTGGTTTTCAAAAGTTTTAAAAATACTTGTCAAAATGAGGGACAAAATAAAAGGAGACACCTGGTTTTGTGGAATACTTTCATAACTGAAAAAGGCCCCAGCACTTTGAATATACCTTTGATGCATGTTTAACTTTCCATGAGTGTTCTTATTAAAGTCAGTGGCATCATCTTGGCAGGTAATAGCATGATATATGGGTATGCATTCCTCAGGTTGTTATTCCAAATTACAAGAGCGGTAGACTGGTTTAATTCTATCGAATAGGTACTGTACTTCGATTTTCAAATAGGTGCTCAAAAAGCTTCTACTTGGTTTTTAAGAAAAAGGATGAGAAGCATACATAGAAAACCTTAATTAGACATGATAATAAGAGTTTAACTAGACCTTTTGAAAATTATTTGAATGTTTTAGAAATTTGTGAAAGATTTGATTTGTCCACGATGCAAATTAGCACTTGAAGAGTTGATCCTATTCGATTCCTGGTATGTTACACATAGTTCAGAAACTGTTACCTTTGGGGACTTCAGTTCTCCTCTCCGCCAGTTTGTATCGATTCTGTGCTGTCTGATGTAAGCACTTTTCCAGGGACTATGTATAAAGCCTGGTTTTATTACTTTCCTTCTCTTGATATGTAATGGCTCGTCAATTCCTAAAATTAATTTAAAAATCAGAACAGGAAAAAAAAAAAACTTGTCTGTCTGCAGACACGCGCATGTGTGTGTGTTAGCAAATTAAATGGCTTCTATCCACCCTAACAATTTTGAGCCATCCCTTATTTCAAATGCTACGCTATGTTTATAGCTTCATCTCCAAAACAATATGCCAATGTTCATGATATGGCTGCACATTATTTCATAGATGCTATGAAACCTGCTGCTTGTACATAAAAACTTGCATTTGAAAGTATGTCATGACAATATAATCCAGTATCAAGGTCATTACACTGTAGGCATCAATTACATCACTGTGTTGAAACAAAACAATTACTGGTTAATGGTATGGTGGGTGCTTTATTGGAAAAGGCAAGGAAATACTAAAAGGAAAAATCAAAGGAAATATTTTCCTTTGCTTCTCAAAAGTTATAAAAATACTTGTCAAAATGAGGAATGAAGTAAAAGGAGATACATGATTTGTAGAATACTTTCATATTTGGATGAGGCTCCAGTTCTGAAAATTCCATAAATATATACTTAACTTTTTATCATGATACTCTGCTTTCCTTACATCAACTTGCCTTCATTCTATTACTACATTTTCCTAATCTTTCAAAAATTATTGCTGAGCTAAGCATATCATTTATTTCATCCTTTGTTCTTCGCTACCTTATGGCTCATCTCCAATCCCCTTTTCCTCAAAGAAGTCTGGGAGAATACTGTCTCTTTTCAGTATCTCTTTACAAATCTTCATACACGTTTCATGACCACTTGCAGTGTCCCTTTTAAGCCCTTCAGAGTACTGACATTTTCATTTCTAAGTCAATGATCTACTCCTTGGGCTCTGATCATGGGACTTTGTTACCTTATTTTTGATATTGCTGACTTTTCTTAATCCTTATGTTGAGCGTCTTGATTCAGAAGACTATGTGCCTTGGGGACTCTTCTCTCCTAGTTGGAATTCCAAGTATAATTACTCTTTCTCTATTTTTTGCTGAAGGGTTTACAGCTGTTTCATCCTTCCTACTAAGGAGTAACTTAAAATTCTGTTTCTGGCCCACTTATCTCCTCTGCGCATCTTCTACCTCTAGTGCTTCTTACTACTAGCCTAGATCTTGTTGCTAGTTGTGAATGATTCTCACCCTATCATCTCTAGATAAGAACCTAAGTAGTGTCATACTGGGCCCAACAGATCTGCCTCTGATAGCGATAGTGACAGTAGGTGCTTTAGAGAAAGAGCATATATGCAGGGCATGTCTTAGGTAATCCACTCCCTGGCAGCTACCATCATTGGTTTAGAGGTGTCAGAGAATACACCCCTGACTGTTCTATTTAATATCTATTACACTACCTGTCCTCTATGAATTTGTCTAATTCCTTTTTGGGCCTGATTATACTATCTGCTTCTACAATTTCACATAGCAAAGACTCCCAGTTAAATGTGGGATGTGTTAAATTCCTCTTGTTTGGTTTAAACCCATCTCCTGCTAATTTCAGTGGATGCCCCCTAAATTGTGTTTTCTTGGACTTGGTGAATGAGACACTATTCACTTTGTCCACGCTATTCTTGATTTTCTAGATCTCTCCCCTTCAGCTTTCTCCATTTCAAACTGACGTATTAGGACCTTTCAGTCTCTCCTGGTGTGGCAACTGCCCATCTTGACTGCCCTTCTCTGTACCTCTTCCAATCATGCTTTTTGAGATGCAGAGACCAGAACTGAACACCAAATTCAAGATGTTTTTGCATGGTGGCACACCATAGTTTTGTATGGTGGCAAGATGATATTTTCCAATTTGTTTCCAATTCCATTCTTAATGATGCCCAACATTTTAGTGGCTTTTTTGGTTGAAGCTGCACATTGAATCAAGGTTTTAAATGAAATATCTACAATGACTGCAATGTCTCTTTCCTGAGTCATGGCTGCCAGTTGGGAGCACAGCATCTTGTACATAAAGGTAAGGTTATTTTTCCCCTTGTGTGCTATTTTGCAGCTATTTTGCACTTATCAGCATTGAACTTTATTAGCTACTTTTCTGCCCAGTCGCTTAATTTTGTGAATGAAAGGCAAAGAAGTGGAAGATGAACTTCAGTGCTCATCATCAATCTCTCCATTCATTTTCTGATACCTCTATTGGCAAATCTTGAATAAACTCTACTTTCATACTATTAAGACTTCGAAGACTGAAGTACTCTTTTGAGCAGTGTTGGTTTCTCCTGTCTGGCCATGCTTTTGTTCTTAATTGCACTTAACTTCCAAGCCTCAAAAGTTCTGAATCATTTCTAACCCCCTCTGCCCACCCTCCACTCCATTGTCTCCCTCTTCTCAGTTGTGCCATCATGATGCAGTAGCATAACTAGAGGTGGGGAAGTAGGACACCAGGCCCAGGCCCTAGAATTCAAGTTAAAGAGGACATTAAAATGGGACATGAGCCCCTCACCTCCTCCGGGGAGTCTATATGCACAGCAGCTAAGTGCAGGAATACCATGCTGCTGTAGCTGTAGCAGCAGCCACTTCAACCAACTTCAGCCATTTCTCTCATCCCTCCTGCTACGGCTGCTGCTTCTTTCAATGGCAATTGCTGCTGAGGAGGGGAATGTGTGCTGGCTGCAACAGAGGGGCATGAGTGTTCCCAACTTCTCTATGGCAGCATGTCCAAGGTCCAGGACATTGCCCTCAAGTCACTCTGACTAAATTCACAGCAGGCACTGAGTTCACCTCCCAACAGCTTTCCTCTTCACACAATTCTGGGTAAAAACACATCTACACGTTTTCCAAAGTCTCCAAGATCTTAGCTGGTTTTTTATGGCCCTTTGCAAGCCAGCTGTTTTAGCCGCCCACGTCATTTCCCAAATCTTGCCCTCTCTGTGATTCTTCCTAAATAATATGCACATGCAGACAGTATCATCTCTTATTTGTGGAACCCAGTGCCTTTGAGGTGCTTAAGCAATCCTTTTCTTTAAAGATACAACTTTGAAACAGCCCTGTTCATTTAGCTTGCAACTGACACCAAGTCTAATGACCTCTCTTCTCACTTGCTACCATATTGGTGGTTACTAGCTTGCATAAATACTGACTTTTGCCTTTACCAATTTCACATTTCAGCCCTTTGTGTAATCTCATTGTTCATCACTTTCTCTTTGTGGGTATGCGTCACTGTACCCAGACTCTATAACAGGGGTGGGCAATTATTTTGGCTGGAGGGCTGCTTACCAAGTTTTGGCAAGCTGTCAAGTGCTACACCCCTTGACACGTGCCCTGCCTCCTGGTCACTATCTTTGGACCAGAAGTCCCTAACCCCTGAGCTTTGCCACCAGAAGTCCCTCCCCTTGTCCCTGGCAGTACTGCTTTTGGCAAGGGGGGTCTGCCATCTTGGAACCAGAAGAATACCAACTTATATTCTAAAAATCAAACATCTACTAAAGCATTAATTAATTTGATTTCAAAAAATATTTTTGTCCTGATTTACTTGTGTTTGCGTAATGTACATAGAGGTGATTGTATAATAGCTTAAAATGAAGTCTTACTCTTGTATATTGTGGGGGAAGTGTGGGAGTGGGTACATGGGTATAGGTTTGTGGGGGGCTGTGGGTAAGTGTACATGTCAGGTGTGGGGGAGGGTGTGGGTGCATGTGTGAATATGTGGGGTGTGCATGGGTATGGGATCTGTGGGGGCATGTGAGGGTGTGAGGGGAGGGTGGCTGGGGATGGGTGTAGCATGTGTGAAGGGGGAGGGTGGCAGGAGTGTGAGAATGGGGCTGGGGTGTGCATTGGGGGGGGTCGGTGCCCACAGCCCCTGCCATCAGTGGTAGTAGCAGGCTGTGAGACCTCAGGGTGCTCAGGGCCCATGGCATGTGGAGCCCCAACCAGACCTCCTGCCAGGCTGGGCTCAGCACGCCTGCTACCCCTGGCCCTGGGCCATCAACTCGGGCCTTGCACTCCTGCCTACTTGTTCACTGCCACTTCCCCCTCCCCCTCCTCCCCATCTGCCACCACTGCCCTTCTCCTGCCACTTCCCTACCTTCCTGCTTCCCGCCTCTGCCGTTCCCTGTCCCACCCCCACTGGACACTCCAGCACCACACGGTTGCCAGCTGCCCAGCTGGGTTCACAGAATGCAATAAGAGCCGGCCCAACCTGGCCAGCAGTGCACAGAGCTAGCCAGGAATTGCGGGGGCCAGGCCGGGCTGGGCCAGGCCAGCTCCTGCTGTGTTCTGTGGACCTGGCTGTGCAGCAAGGAACAATGTGGTGCTGGAACAGCTGGGTGGAGGGGGTGCAGAGAAACAGCGGTGGAAGGCAGTGGAAGGGAAAGTGGGGAGATGGTGGGTGCAGTGGCAGCAGGGTGAGTGGCAGTGGGTGGGAGCACAGCAACAGCTGGGTGGGAGTGCAGGGCCCGCACCAGTGCCCTGGGGCCAGGGCCAGCAGCGGCCCAGGGCGGGACAGCAGGAGCGTGAGGTGTGGGCTGGCTGCTGGCAGGGATTCTATGGAGCTGGGCCAGGTTGCGTCGGCAGGAATAGGGACAGAGATGGATTGGGCCCTGCAGTCCTGCTGCCCTGCCCTGGGCCCATGCCAGCCCCAGCCCTGCAGCACTGGTGTGGGCCCCACGCTTCTGCCCAGCTGTCACTGCACTCCTGTCTGCCACCGCTGCAACTGCCATTTCCCTGCTTTCCCAACCACTGCCATTGCTTCTCTCCACTCCCCTGTCCACCTGCCAGCCGCTCTAGTACCATGTGGTTCCCAGCTGCATTGCTGGGACTGCAGGAGGTAGCAGGAGCTGGCCTGGTCCCAAGGACTGGGGCAATTGCCAATGGTCCTCCCCTCCCCCCTGCATTCTTAGCTGTGTTGCATGAGGGTGGAGAACAGCCCTAGGGTTTCCAGGCCAGAAGCCTGTGCTAGGCAGAGGCTGGTTGGAGCTTTTGGGGGGGGGGGGGGGGGG